ATCCAGGCAGTGGACCATACAGGTGAGTTCTTTTATCTTTATTTTTATTATATATCTATATATTTTTTTTGCTTTTAAATAGAAGTGGTACTTAAACATACTACACCGGTATTAAAGTAAATATGTACAGGTGCTGCTGCTAGTCTTTAAGTATGTGCGAACAAATTTAATTAAAGGCGATTCAGAGAGATTTTCTTAATTTGTTGTATGAATACTCGTATTAGAGGCACGTATGGAATGTAAATATTTTCATGCAACCTAGGTATCAATTCGATAGTTTAAGTGAGGAAAACATCAATCTTCAGCTTTTTAATTATAATTATATATGCAAGTCGATGCTGCACAGCTTTTTAATTGAATATTATCGACTTGAAACAATACATTAAAATGTATTATTATTCTCAACCTTTTCTTGCTGATACGAATTTGTACGTTTTCCTTCAACATAAGGAAATTTTCGTTATGATTGGCAATCACTTCCCCGATCCATTGATAGACTCAGAGCCGCAGGATGTAGTGACTGCAAAAAAAATCTATAAATTCTAAGGTTCCGAGCTTACCTTTCTTCAACCACAAGTCTTTAAGATGGAACTATTCCGACTGCATTTCAACCATTAAAAGCCTTTCATAAAAACCAACTGTCAGATGCGGCTTAAAACTGCAGTTGCCTCCATTTTTATGAAGAGGTGCCTTCCATGTTAGGCCAAAAGAAGTAGTTATACGGGTTATCACCAATAGCTGATGCAGCAATGTTTGCGATTAATTAAGACTCCGAACGTACATTGAGGCGCACGAACCTTACTGCTAACCTGCTTGGATTTTGGGGCTTACATTTTATTCACAAGGCTGGCTGAGTGACTAACAGTAAATGGTGTCGCGCCAAGACGGAAACTGGCAATTGGGCCGAGTGCCCAAATCTACTTTCAGGAGAAATATCTGACGTTAGTACCGTGAAGATCGTAGTTAAGTCTAAGTCTCACATTGGCGGGTTTGAGAGTTTCGTCCTCATAAGCTTTCTGCATATTCCCGATGGCTCGTCAATGCAAATATGTATCCAATATACACCTCCTGCATTACTCACATATATGTATATATGTAGGTATATGGACAATTTTTCAATAACGTCATCGATGACACTATCGATAAATATATTGGAAATAAAAGGTTGACGCTAACGGTAAATGCACCGTTTATAATGTCGATAAATGTTAAAAGGATGATGTCGACATACATACGTATTTATCGAAAATTACTTATGTATATCGATAAGTTTTCCGATAACGGTACTTGTAAACATTGACGTGTAGTCTATCAGACACCAATTTTGCAGATCAAAAAATATATATTCGATATTTATGAATGACCTTTTTTAGATTTAAACTGAAAATTCTATCAATATTTTAAGCACTTATTAATGAAATAGTCATATAAATAAACTATATGTCGAAAAATAGGCGTATTTAGTAATCAATGATATTGAAGCTCGGGAAAAATGTCGAATCTTCGGTGTCTGTCAGACTACCACGTCAGAGGGTTATAGCGAATAGGAGCTCAATGCAATGAAAAAATTAAAATAACAGATTTTTTTTTATCAAACTGGCCTTTTGCAAGAATAATAATTTATGGTTTAATGAAATACCTCCTGTGCGGTCTTTAGTTATGTGGATTAAAATACTTTTTTAGTTCTATTATGCTCTCAGATACACATTATTTCATATCTATAGATAAACAATTTTTTTTTTATCTCAGCAACATTTAAGGATTTTTTTTTTTTAAATAATTAAGGCATTTTATTCTTAGAAGACCACTTGATTGACCCGCTTATTTTATAAGACAGAAGAATTTTACCAAAAGCTCTTAAAAATTATGTTTACAAAAAATATTCAAACGTTTTTTAAAAGTTTATGATTTTACCTCTATGTAGTTGTAACTAACAATGTCAGATAAACAAAATATGAGACTTAATTATTATAAACTTTAACATAACTTTCAATGTTTTCTCTCTTTGTCGCGCACAGAGTCCTGATGCTCGGTGGCCCGGCAGTGGGCAAAAGCTCTTTGGTCTCTCAATTTATGACTTCAGAGTATTTGCATGCCTACGATACAAGTATTGGTGAGTACACAAATCAATTTGCATTAGAATAGCATCTAGGAAATAGGATATACATAAAAATCTCGCGAAAAACTCAGTTAAATACTAAACAGTAAAGCATTAAAAACAAAATTTAAAATTCTTGCCTTACCCTTTTAAATGTATCCATCCGCGCATTTGTTGTCGTTTTTTTTTTTGTACACGCTGCTTACGTAAAAATTTTCACTCAAATTCGAAACAATTTTATGATTTAACTAACTTTTGCTTCGTTTGCTGTTATTTAATTAGATTTCATTCAACTTTATTTGCGGGCGCTTTTAGTATTCATTTAGTGTTCATTTCCCTATGTGTAATTGTCTCTGCTTCTCTCTGTCTGTGTCTGTCCGCTTTTACTGTCTCTTTATCAATTGATTGGTTTTAATTTTCATTTGAAAAGTCAACATACATACATACATACATATTCATTCTCAATTTTATTTGTGTGTGTGTGTGTGTGTGTACGAGTAAGTCCAAGTACGTTCGTCCATCGGAATCCATCATTGAGATTTCGTTCAGCGCTCATAGCCTCTATCAATGTCATTAAAGTCATTTCACAATCAGCAGAGTAATCAAAATCGCTTAACCACTCTATACTTACTACATACAGCCAAAGCCATCAGCTTCACTTCTACCGCCTCACTTTCATCATACTTTAGTTTCACCCTCACTATCAACCGTCCGTACCAACACCTAGTATTCCTACATTACACGCTGTTACCTCTGTTTTCCTTTTTCTCATTCACTTTTTTGTGTTTCGTATGTACATATTCCTAGCTCGGTGGATCCATCATGCCTTCATTAAAATTTAATTCAATTTTCAAGTTTAGTGCTTTTGCGGATTCACGCTTTTAAATTTGCTTACACTCGTACTTTGCTAAATTTTTAAGAATTTTTTTTTCATAATTGATCTTTTATTGAATTTTGCTGCTTTCAGCTTTAATTTTATCTTTAGTTTATTTTGTGTGTTTTGCTGTTCATGTTTCTACTTCAAAGCACACGCCTGTGGAACCGTAAAAATTTCCGAAATTTATTTCCATGGCAGTTATGCAACATGCCACTGGCTATGCAATTTTTCAATATTATTTGATTTTACAAGCTCAGGTTTGGATAGAGCTAGCTGTTTTCGCTGCAACAAAAGTTACCACTACAAATGCATATGCATTAGGGTGGACCAAAAATGCATGTGAAAAAGTTAAGTCGGAATTGTAATGCTCTCCCCCCCCTAATATTATTCTATATCGAAAAATATATACCTTTATTTTTTTGTTTTGAAATCAAATAATATTTAGAGGTCGCTCAAAGCGCTCAAAGGTTTCCAAAAACAAATTTTCGTAGAAAAGGTATAGAATTCTTAAAAATCAATATTTTTCTATCTGAAAACTATGTTTATGTGCAAGAGATTTCCAGTAATAATACCCAATTGTTTATTTAACCATTTTCCATCGCAACTATAATTTATAGGTCCGCCAAAAACCCACAAAAACCCCGAAAAATGCCAATAAAAAAACCTTAGTATTGAAAAATGGTTAAATAAACAATTGTGTGTTAATATTGAAAGTCTCCTGAAGAGAACCAGAGCTTTCCGATCGCAAAATATTGGTTTTAAAGAATTTTAAACCATTTCTACGAAAAGTTGTTTTTTCCCATATAAAATTATTTGGAAAGCTTTGAGCGCTTTGAGCGACCTCTAAATATTTTTTTATTTCAAAATAAAAAATAGGGGTACACTTTTTTCAATATAGAACAATATTACAATTCCGACTGTACTGTTTTTGGACCACCCTAATATGCATACTGCACATGTGGAAATTCATGATGTACTCAAAGGCACTTGGCAAACAAAAAAATAACTGAAGCGGGTTTTTATTTGAGCTATAGCTTTTCAGAAGTTAAGTTTTGTTTATTGCGTTTTTAAATTTAAAATACAGTTCTCTCCCGCATTACAATAATTTGGCGAATACTGTGTTGAGTTTTGAAAATGAAGTGATAGAAGAGGAGGTTCCGGAGGTTTTGGAGGTTCACTAATGCACTCAAACTACACATATATATTTCAGTGTAAGGAAGGCATTCGTTTACGTAGAGTTTCATACGTTAACCAACTTCCGAAGCTTGGCAGCATTAAAAGTATGTTTAAGTGAAGTTAGGTTGAGGAGGCTACCACTTGGATAATTAGGGGATGGTGCTTAGTGATACCACGAAAACACTGAACGTGGAATTTCCAGTGCGACTAATTCCAACGTCTGAGAGCTCGCGTAGTTAGCCAAGAAGTGCGAGTCAAATGTTTCCATCTTCGATTGATTTGGTAATTTTCCATATAAGTTTGACCCAAAAGCCATTTAAGCTGTTTGGACTGGAATGCTTGCCATAAATTAATATATAATTTTTGTAGTTGGAAATATTAATTTAAAGTACCCAGTTGCTCTTCAAAGTTCTAACTAAAGTTGCGACTACGCAAAAAAAACAATAAATTTTTTTTTTCATTGAAAAATTTCTCACTTTGCTTATTTTCGCACATTGAATCCTTTCTAACTCTCATGAAATCCATCATCCCGCTCGCTAACACCGCTAACTGCCTCAAAACGTTATTATTTTCATGCGCAGTAACCTACAGATGGCTGGACATAAAAATTTACCTACTCGTGTACGCACGCGTTCTATGCCAGACGCTGCACTAAAATTGCAAGAAAACTCCTGAAACCAACAGTTAGTCAGCGATTCATTGTTAGTTGGCTGTATGTAGCGACTTCATGTCCGTTGTGTCAGTCAATGCTGTGCGTCTGGTGAACTTGCACAAGCAGAATTATAAACAAGCCTTAATAACTCACCATGTTCACTAAATAATTTGTTTGTATTCTACTATGCGTGTGTACATATGTCTTATATTAGTTGTAATTTGTTTATACTTTTCTGTTTTAGTTTTATTTTTTATTTTTGTTGTTGCTTAAAAGCAATCTGTTCTAATTAAATTTATGTTGCGCGAATCATTCAAATTCAAGTAAACTAAGTGAATTCTCCGTAATTTTGCGATTCCACATTTATTTAGCGCAATTTTTATTATAATTTTGCGTTTGCTTCGAGCTTTCAAATTGATTTGAAATTTTCACTCACCATTTAAATAAGAAGAAATCTGGTGAACAATTGTATTACCAAATAATTAGATATCAACAATTTGCAAAATTTACATAGACATATAACTACCTAAAAACATACATAAATTACGTCAATTTCCATTTCTTCTTCACAATTGCGTATTTACAAATTCTTCTTCTACTTATTTTTTCGTTTTCTTCTTTTATTTCAAAACAAAACTGCGTATCTGTCAACACAAATACAAAAAAAAAAATGGTTCGCCATTTGATACAAAATGCAAAAAATAAATCTATTTCAATTTTCATGTGAACTTCCAAATCAACTATATAATAAAATAAAAAACATGCATCCCAATTTAAAAAAAAAATAACTGTAACATAAACTTCGCATGTAAAAAATAATATTAAAAATAAACATTTAAATCGAATCTGAATAAAAAATTTATAAATCTAACCCAATCATAAAACGTTAAACAAAAAAAATAATATTTCATTTCTTTAATTCGAAAAAATATAATTAAATTACTTATTTGAAAATAAATTTAAAAACGCATAAAAAATGCACCTAAAAATGTGTATTTCAATGTTTTTAAAAATTAAAAAAAATACATGACGTAAAATATTTTTTATAAATTTATATATAAAAAAATACATACTAAAACATATAAACGACGCAAAAAAAAATTACATCAAAATTTCATTTAATTTTAAACATTTATTACTTAATTAATTAATTATTTTAATACTGCTAAAAATTCATTTTAAAATTTAAAAAAAATATGAAAATTATTAATGTAAATCAAAAAAATTTAAATTAATTGACAAATCAATAAATTATATAAAAAAATCAAATCACACATAAAATATTTATTTTATAAATGAAAAAATTAACTATAAACATAAACAAACCAAAATAATATAAATCAAACACTCATCAAAATTTCAAAACAAAATTGGTTTTGTAAAAATGTATTAAAATTGTTTTACATCGTCATATACTATATTTACTATTTAAAAAATTTAATTTTGAAATAAAAAAAACGTAACTTTTCCAAAAAAAAAAAATTTAACCAAACTATATTAAAACGGTAATAACTATTATTCCTAAAACTGATATTCATTTAAAAAATTACCCAAAAAATTTAACTGAAAAATTAAAAAAACTTTTGGAAAAATTAACTAATTTTTAAAATAAAAAATTTAACTAATAAAAATAATACACAAAAATTATATTATGAAATATTCAAAAAAATCAATAAAACATATTAAAACAAAAACTGGCAACTAAAATATGAAAATAATAAAATAAAACTTGCCCCATGTAAACAAATTTATAAAACAACAAAAAAAAAATCAACTCTCTTATTAAATTACAATATTTACAAATGTATACAGATTTAAATCAGCCACCTTTTTCCGCAACTCTAGCAGGCCAATGCGAAATACGTATAGAAATCGAAAAACCCGCTGACGGTAAAGCAATTTACGCTTAACAAAATTTGCATATTAACATATATTTTCTCTTTAACATTTCAAGTAAAATTTTCAATATTCGCTTAATCTGATCAGAGCTAAAATTTCATTATTCAAACAAAATTTGCTATACGAGTATTTTAAATTTGAATTTTCATATTTGCTACTGTTGTTTGAAAACTAAATAAATGCACACTAAACCAACAACACATGCACACACTTAGAGCAACTATCCAAATCAGAGCACTCACACAGCCAAACACAGAAACCCGCAAGCAAACATCCGTCCGCCCACAGTTACGCGAAGTTAGCAAGCAAATTAAAGACGCACTCAAAATGCACAAAAAAAAATACACACACACACACAAACGCATACGCATAGGTAAAATGGTTATCCAAAACAAGAAGCACAACTTTCTTTTTTAAGTGGCCTCCATTGAACCGTTACTTACAAAGTACTATGAAGTCCTCTTATGACACCTGTCTCCACACTCGCTCACAGCATACGAATGTCCGCCCTGCAAAACTTTTCTGCCACACAAGTGTGCTATACAAGTGGCACAGGTCATCCAAATAAATATACATATGTATGTGTGTACATACATGCATGTGTATATTTGTCTAGTTTTGCTATTGCCACACATGCACATACTACTTCTGCTGTGATAGTTTCTCACAAGATTTACTTATTCCTTTAGAAATGTAATGATAACTTCGAATGCCAAACTTACGCACTGAAATTTGTCAGCCATTTAGTCTTCAAAGTTCCTTTTGCTCGTTCTCCCCTCCTTTGCAAGTACATTTGTATGCATACGTAAATAACTTTCTTCATTTGCTTAGTAAGTACATAAACCCACTTTAACTTATTTGCAACGAAACTCATTCAAAATAATATGCCCACACTCAGTTTGCTGTTACAACTTGTATTTAATTTCATCCTCCCTGCCGCATTGCCAGCTTAACTAATTACTGAAAACTGAAAACTGTTTTGCTTATCTTCATTAGAAGAGACTCTCAAAATAACTTTCCCTGATAAGTAGTGTAAATCATTTGCACAAATGCTCACTTACATTTGCAACCCTTTTCAGGCAGGATATTTACTTAAATCCTTCTACGTAGGAAAATAAAAATACCTACACACGTACGCTTCCGTGCGCATATGTGTAATCATGTATGTAGTACATATGTATGTTTTTTTGCACAAGGATGTGAATGTACATATCGTACCTTAAATCACAGTCACAGTCACAACTTAAAATTTATTTTTTTTTTTGCATAAAACAGTGCCAGACTATATGGCTATGGTCCACCAAAAACTTCGACTTCATCACCATATTCTTGAAATGGAAAAATACTAGTATTAAGGGCCGGTTGTTCAATGTCTGGTTATCACTACCGCCCAGTTAAACATCATTATCGACGATTTTTACGTCATGCATATAACAAGTGATCGACAAAGCAGTCGTTGTATTTAAACGGAGCCTCTACCTGCGATTTATATTAACCGAACATTGAACAACCGACCCAAACACTGTATAGACTGGTTTAGTAACTATAACCAAATCATGTGTTGAGAGAAAAATATTTAGCTGACTTTTTTCTGAGTCTACCAGGATTCCATGACTTTATAGCATAGTATGCTGTGTATCATTTATAAAGCATAGGATTTCGTTCTTCAGCTCCGGAATCATAAAGGGCTCATTGGCATAGACCATACTTTCAACGCAGTCCCAGAGAAAGAAGTCCAATTGTGTCAAATCCCAAGATTCGTCGGCCCTTTGCCGTCGGTGTTTCGTCAGATAATGCGTCCTGGGAGCTCGATTCGCAATAGGGCCATTCTTTCGTGCGCTATGTAGCAAGTGGCATCGTCCTTTTAAAATCACATCTTGTCCAAGTCAGTATCATTTAATTCAGACCATACAGATACCCCAGAGTCACCCTAAATGTATGAAATATTTTACCAAAACTTTAAAGCCACTTTTCATGAATTTTCTGATTTTCCGAAATGTTAAGTTTTCCAAGGAAATTAGCGATGCGAATGTATATATTTCTGCATCAAATATATTGCCTCCCAACGCCCCCCAACGCCCCCCGCCGCCCAAATACATACTTACACTCATATGTTGGTAATTATTTTTCTCCATCCATTTTCCAAATTTAATTCGTACTTTGCTCTAAATGACTTGAAAGTTTGCTGCTGTTTTGCCACTTTCATTTATAAAGATCTTGAATAATCTCCGTTTTTTCGTTTTCTTTGTATTTTGTTTTGGGATTTTGCTTATTTTTCCTCTTCTATTTTTGCTATGCGGTTTTTTTGTGGTTTTTTGTTCTATAAAGTGGCAAGTTTTCATGACCAATGCACGAGTAAAAAAAAAATTACTTGTCAATAGAAGACATCCTTCCGCATAAATTGTGTTGGTGGGAGAAATTTCAGACATACCAAATTTCGTACCTGTTACTAGGAAAAGACTTCCATCACCTTAATTTAAACCTACTATATGATGGCAGACAAAGTGGAGGGAAGCGATGTTAAGAATGTGTTTATTCCACTTTTAAAGTCTTTGACTTTGTGATGAACCTCAGTAATAATAGTCGGGGACTAGAAATGTAACTAGTGCTATAACTTGTTCCGAGGCATATCAAGCCAAGTAGTCAATTATCTCTTTAACAGGCACTCCCGATCGATTTAGCGCACAGAGTAAAACAACTTCGTTATATTTTACAACATAATTTAGTCGAGATTTGCATTGCCGAACTAGTTTGGAAGTAGTTAGGATGCTGGCCAAGGCATTGTGGGCAGCTTCTTGGCAATATACAACAGACCCGTATGTAAAAAAAAGATTTCAAACCAATGGTGAATTTGTGCGTAGGGTATAACAAATAGTTCTCAACTAAAACTTGGGATCTTTACGATATGCACAAAACATGGTTTCGCTCTTCACTCAACCACGAGTCCGTTATGGGTATTAGTTTTTTTATGATTACAATAAATATTTATATATTTTCTTTATTTCTCCATTGAACAGTTTGTGGCATTTTTATAGAATTTTCACTTTTTAATACTTTTCATTCACTTTTACATTCATTCTAACCGTAGGTCTCATTGTTTTGATTCTTGTTATCATTACCGTTAATTTTTATCTCACTGCAATCGTTATCCCCTTTTCGGCAATTTCATTAAACACTTCATTGATTTCAGAAGCTGATTACGGATGCGAATAATTGTAGTTCGGTTGGTGGCATTCTTGTAGATAAATATACTTACATATGTGCACTTGAATATATTTACGTATTTACCCTTTTGTTAGGAATACAATTTTAATGCCCTAAAGTAGCCTTTTTCACAAAACATTTTCACTTTCTTACCTAAAACGAAAATTGGTCTTGAATGTAAATAATTATTATTTTAATTAGTTTTTTGACACCTTTTTTCCACCCATTTTACAGGGCAACTCTAGCAAGAATAGTTAAAGGGCTTTTACATGCGTATAACAGGAATTCGGCAAAGCAGTTGATATGTTTGTCGTGAAGTTAACATTAACAGGGAGTCGACAAAAAGACTTTAAGGCGCGCTGTTAATTAGGCTGAGCCACGCAATGAGCGTCTGAGCGCGGTGAGCGGCTTTAAGCGCTTATTGTGTGGCCACTTCAATAATATATTATACATATGCTCTAATTTTAAGCCGCTCGCCACTTTGCTGCTCATTATGTGGCCTCGGCCTAAGGCAAAAACGTTTGAAACAACGGTACGTTTTTGATATTAGTCACCAGTGTTCCGTTGCTGCCTCATTGTTGCCTGTTGTTTCCAAAATTCCTGAGCTGAGCAATTGGTTTTTCTTAAAACTTCAGACCTTTTACTTAAATTTTATTTGAATAAATCGAGTAAAAAATCTGAAATTTTAAGAAAAATCAATGCTTATTTTTTATTTGTACGGCCCAATATCATATGAATTCGCTTCATTTGAATACTTTTTCAACGTAACAACAGATTTATTGAATTATTCCTGGAAAATATAAACCAAATCATTTTGAAATAAAAAACAATGCAAAATGTTGCAATGAAAAGTAAAAAAATATTGTACAGAGTTAAATACAATTACTTTCATATGTACATTAGGGTGGATCGACAAAAAGTGTTTTTCCAGTCCACCCCTACGATTAAAGATATTTTGAAGGCGATCGCAAAAAAAATTTTTTTTTTTTTTGCCACAATTATTACCTTAATCATTTTTTAGAAAAAGTTTCACATTATTTAAAGGCCTTTTCGACAGACTAAAAAAAGTTGAAATTTAGGTATGATGTGAAACGAGATACCGACAGTCACTACTATAATTTGAACTCGGAGTAAAAAATGATTAAGGGAGAATTGTGGCGTCTTCCAAGCCATGAACAACGGTGTACGGCTCATTAAAATCGGACTTAAAATGGCGACGTAGTGTCAAAAAAAGTAAATAGCCCATCGGGGGGGCGTGGCAAAAAAAAAAATTTTTTTTGGGATCGCCTTCAAAATATCTTTAATCCTAGGGGTGGACTGGAAAACCTTTTTTTTTTGTATTGGGACCGATCCGCACTAATGTACATTCATACACAGTAATTTTATATTGAAGGTTTTAAAGTTGCGTATACGCCAAGGAGTATTTCATTTGAAACAAAATATGCACAGCAAACAAATCGAGGAAAATGCGTACATATGTATTTGTATTAAATTATAAATATGTATTTATGACCGTTAAATAGAACATTTCACTCGAATTTCAGTTGAAATTTGAAATGTGCCACTTATATTACCGACGCCGTCTCTAACACTTGATAGCATACCTACCCATGAAAATACCCTTACTACGTTTCCATAGCCATAACTACAGCTCACAAATATACAAATGTACATGTACATACATATAACCAAAAAATATCTATAACAGCGCATATTTAGAACGTTTACATTGCATCTAAATACATACATTATCCACTCTACAAAATTTCAGCTCTTTCACCAAACTCTCAAGCTGCCCATAATTAGTTCAAAACCAAAAGAGAAGCATACTCGCATACATATCCACATAGCCATCGACTATTTAACGAACTTAAAATGCATGCATACATATTTACTCTGTATCTAATCATCTGCGTTTCATACAATTATTGTTTGCTTGTTTTGTGGCATGAATCAGAAATTCCCCAACTTTCGTTCCTTCTTCGCCATATGCATAGTTGTGTAGTAGAGATTCGCATTTATTCTCAGTACAAGTTTTAACGTTTTAAAGTTTTAAAATTTTATACAATATTATACAAAGTGAATACTTAATATAAAATTATTTTTTTTTTTTACAAAATTAAATTTTCCACAGATGATGAATCTGGCGAAAAATCTGTCTCAGTATTGTTAAGTGGCGAGGAGTCCGAACTGATTTTCATCGATCACGCTTACACAGAAATGAATGTAAGTATAATACATACACATACATAATACTAATAAAGAATATGAATAATAGAAATGGTGGCAACCCTCGATATGAATTTTAGCAAATTAATTGTGAACCCCTGTTGCTGCATACTTATATTGCTGCACTCTATGAAACTTACTGGTTACTTACTTATTTGAATTCTTTATATAGGTGGCAACTCTATGGTAAAATATACAAACCTAGATACTGTTATTAAAGCTTTCTTTTGAGAATGCTTCAGAGTGTTTTTATAAGCTTCAAAAATAAAAACATGTTTTAGAAAACTATTCCTTAACGTTTTGCCGTTTACTTGTGAGCGAAGAGCATTAAGGAAAAAGCTCTTAAGTATAGTTTCAATATTTCAACGCTCCTAATTTATGATGCCAGAAAACTTTAAGCAATGTGAATTTTAAAATTATCCGACTACTTTTAATTGACGCTCACCGTGTGGCCAAAAGAACAAATAAACTCATCAAAAACCAGACACAGCCGGATGAAATGAAAATGACGGTCACATCCTTTGGCCACTTGATGATGATGATGATGGCTTCACGCACTTAAGCAGTGCAAACAAAAGGGCAAAACACACACACACACAATGTATCTTAAACCACACCACAGCTGGTCTCATATGCCCTGCAGTGTCTGTCCTTTTAATTCGGTTTGTATGTATGTACATATGTATGTAGGTGTGCGCCTGTGGCTTTCCGGCTGCTTTAACCAACCACACGTCATGCATTTCATTTGAGTGCGTAGTTAACTACAAGCATCGCAGCTGAATTGAATTGTCAGCAAAGCTGCCACTGCTCTTGACCTTTATTCCACACACAAAAAGTGCTGATAAACAAGCGTATGAGATTTAGACATACACATATATCCCCATACATGTACATATGTATGTATGTGGTTATGTATATTTGCTTATTGTGGCCTTATTTGGATTTAAATTTGCTTAAAACCATTGAAGCGCATAAGCATTCCCGCCGGGGGTTATGGCGAACACTTTGCTGTACGTTTCATATTTTTTTATCTTACGCTGAATATAAACAGCTTTTACACATATACATATTGTATATATGTATGTGCATAAATATAAATACATAAATCAATTTTCTATGGTCAATTAATTCTATTTCTACTCCTTCTCTATTTTCATGCCTCACTTTTACTTGGTTTCTTGTAAATGGATTTCGTTTTTCTGTTTGTCTTGCTGCCTTCAATAGCCTGATGATTGCCTATCCAGTTATGATCCGCACGGTTATTGCGTCATTTATTCAGCTGCTGACCGCAGCAGTTTCACTGTGGCCGAACATGTATTGCAGGTGCTGTGGACAAATCAAAATATCGCGCAAAAGGCTGTCATATTAGTGGCGAATAAAGCCGATTTGGCGAGAAGTCGACTGGTGACATCCGATGGTGAGTAGAGAAATATGAATTTGACAAAACAAACTTTTTTTAAAATAAACTCATTAAAATGGCATTGTTGAAAGAATGTAGGCTTCAGAAAAATCTTTGATATCTATTTAAAGAGTTTTGTTAAAAAATTGTGAAACCTATTGCGTGGCATCTCAAATAGTCTTCACTGCACTACTTCCATTTGCATATAAGTAAAAATGATTGCATCCGATTATTTAAGTATTTCCTAAAGCCTCTTTACATAAGTAGTTAATCCCGCAACTTCGATCAACTGCGCATTTACAAGTGTATAAATCGTTAAATTCGTTTGATTGATTTTGTTTTATGTTTTTTTTTTCACACTAAATACATAACTGCGCTGTACTATTTGCCTTCGGAAAGTAGCATAAATGTGATGGAAAAAGCAGTTGCGCAATAAACCGCGCAATTTCGAGCTAAATCACCTAAGATTAAGCTTTTTATTTTCTCTTTTGTGCTTTCTTTCTGTTTTGGTTTTATATCTGAATAATAACTTTATGCGCTCAATCATCTCAATCTGTGGTAATTTGTATTCTTATTCTTCTTCTTTTTCAATATTTTCGTTAGGCCTATGGCTTTGTATACTTATTTGTATTTATGTAAGTTATATTTTCCTTTGTTCTTTCTATTCATCTAATGCCACAAGTAGCATCATATCGCACGCTTAATAATATAGAGAACTAAATCAAAACTTACGTTTTTTGAGATTTCATCATACAATTAATAAGCTTGATAAGAATGATTAAACTCCCCAAAAAGGTCGAAAAGCCATATCTTCAGCCAACTTGCCTCAACAGCGCTCGACGTTGACGATAACACTTTCACCATTAGCATTTTTAAAGAAGTAAGGCTATTCTACCTATTGTCATATACATTAAGCCAAATATTATTAGCCTCGTCACTCAATACAATATTTCTATAAGAAACATTGGGTTGACTTAAAGATGGTTTTGTACCCATTGGCCGAACGTATGGCACAATTGATGATCCATCAGCTATAATTCATGCACCAGCTGCATCTTATAAGGTCGTAGGTCGAGATTTTTACCTAAAATTTTCCCAGATAGTGAAGTGAAGGAAATTTCGAAAAAATATATCTACATATATATGTATGTAAGTACATATTTTAGCGCGGATTAATCAAATTTCAAAAAAAAAAAATGTTTAGCATATTCGAATTCTAAGCAAAAATAGTGAACAAACTATGTATATACCAAAAATGACGTTTGATTGTCCCAATTTTTAAAAGAAAAATCAGTGTATTATAATTATTTCTGAACGAAATTAGCTTTTCATTTAAAAAATTTTGTGTTTTCTTTATACAATATACTGCTTTTTCTATTGAAAATTGGGTGGGTCTTACGTCATGTTTGGTATATAATTTGTACACCACTTTTGCTTAGAATAAATCTTAGAATTCGAAAATTTTGGTCCGAACAGATTACGCCGCACTAATGTATAAATATTTTTTAACCGAGTTTAAGGATCGCCATTTAAAATTTTTCGTCATATATTCGTCATTTACAGCCTGATTTTAACCCAAGTATAACGTTCAAATACTTGCCCACCAGATCTAATTTCTTAGCATCTTCTTCTTCTTATTTGGCGCTATAATCGCCTCATCCTAATGTCAGTGGAATAAAGCTCTCCAAAAAATCATGAAACTTTGTATAAGGAATTATTTCGATTCGAAGACGATTAGATTTTTTCGTCGTATCTTCGGAATATATAGTCTGATCTTAAAGAGAAATATTTCGATTATTCCAGTAGAACTATTTAAATTTTTTTTTATTATTCCGAATGTAGATGCCACCGAAAATTGTAAAAAAGGGAGAAAAAAATATATTTTTTTAGAAATTACCTTGCACAAACCTAATGTACTTACACACCTCTACCGTAATTCAGAACAGTTTTTATTTCTATTTAAGGCCTAATATACAGCTCTCAAGAAAATTCTGAAGAAATATGTTTCATTATTTTTGTGGTTTGAAAAAGTAATTTGTCGTTGCTGTAAATTTTCTTGTAGAAATACATAAATATGCGAGATTTTTTTCTCAACTGATTTAAAGCAAAATGGAAAGAAGAAAATTTTTTTTCTCATTTCTTGAAGGCACTTTTTAGAAACAAATTAAATAGAAAAATAAGCTTGAACACCATTTAATAACCCAAGCTTGCAATCACTCATTCAAAAATTTATCTACACTTCATTTCATACCACAGTTCAACTCCCATTATTCACTTTTTTCTTATATTTTGCTTGACATCTTTTGCAGTGAAATATATATTTTTTTTTTTTAATTGCTGTCAATCTCAAATACCCACTTAGTTAGGTTTGTGATGATTTGTACTTCCGAAAAAGCATTTGTACTGCTATGAACAGAGTTGCTCAACGATGTGACTAAGTATAAATAAATAAAACTCAAATAAAAGACACAGCAAATAGGCCAAAGGCATCATCATTAAAAAAAGGTGTGATATTTCACTGCAATTTGTGCTGTTTCCTTTCAATGGAAGCCACTTGGTGAGATGAAGTGAAGTAGTAACGTCGTCAGCATTACTAAAAGCAGGGAAATTACGCCACAATTGATGAGTGGAAAAGTTTCTTGCGAAGCAGACAAGTTTTTCATTCGCTGTCTACTTTATTTATTTGTACAAACGTGACAAAAGTCGGACGAGTCGGATTGTTATATGTTTGCTTCTTACGCACATAGTAGTTATATATTTATGTGTATACATACAAACAAAAACATTCCTTACATTTTATTTTCATTATTTCTTTACTTTTGCAAAGTAATTGATTCAATAAAAAGTACTGAGACAGCACAAAAATTCTTCTCGGTGAAAGCTACTTACTTTGTTTGTCTCTTAATGGCCTTTTAATAGCCCCATTTCATTTGAAAACTTGAAATCGGTTGAAATATGATACAGTGTTTGCTTTACACATTTTCAAATCCAAACCATGCCACTCAACTTACATCCCCGCATATACATATATGAACGTATACACGTATATTACGTACCAGCACATCGCGTCTACCCTCAATTGAGCACACCAGTGCGTATGAGCAACTTATATATATTTCGCCTTGATTGTATTTTTATAACGCCTACCTTAACCTTCACCTACTGTTTGTTGCCTGTTGCGGTCATTATGGCTAACATTATTACACTTTATTCAGCATTTAAGTTTACTTTTTTCCATTTCATTGCAACATTAATATTATTTTTGTGCTACTTTGTTGTTTGTGTTTCACTGGATGCAACGCACTGACTGAGTGACATTGTTTGCTTTTAATTAAGAAGCAATTTCAATAAAACGTAAACAACTTTTTGTTGCTATAATAAAGTGTCGTTATATTGTTTTTTTTTGCAAATTTTTTTTTGTGCTTTTACTTTTATTCCGTTATTCTCCAGCTGCAGTAGAATATTTCTTTATGCTAACGCAAAACTTTCTAAGAACAAGTAAAAAGGCAAGGTGTGATTAAAAATTAAATGAGCATAAATTATTGCCACCAACTTTAGTAAGTAGTCTGCGGGAAATTAGGTGCAACAAGCAACTTTAGACTTAATTATTAATTAATTATGTTGGCTGGAGTTTTTTGCGTAGAATATTAAATGAAACGCTTGAGGCTGTTATTACGCGTAGAAGCTGCAGATAATTTAAAATATGAAAAAGGCGGAATGTAAAGTTGATTTAACTTTTGGAATTTAAATTTGAATCGTAAAAGTTGTGTATATACAAATATTTTTTCTTTGGTTATGGCTTTGCAAACAAAAGCAGTCAGAAAAAGTATTTATTTTTTATACTCGTTAAAGCAAAGTCAAACAAAATCATCAAAAACATAGACGAATTTTTAATTTTTTGCACACTACGGTTTGAAAAAATCTTTATTAACATATGTATGTCATTATTCAAAATAAATATGGTTGTTAATAAAAATTAATACTTAATGAGCTTAAAGAATTCTTTAATCCTATGTTTCCGCATAATGACTTTTATGCTCTCAAAAGACGGAAAGTAATTTTACCCAATTGCCATCTGTTGACTGCATTTGAATGTCAAAGTGAGCACATATACATACAAATTAAGCGATTTAATGAAGCCGAAGCAATGCCATAATTGACATTTATAGATTAATTTATGCGGGAAAATTCAGTATGCGCGCAAAGTGGATATGTTTGAACTTTTTTTCTTAGGTATGTCATACAGTTGCGGTGATTATGTACAGCTGCGCGTTTGGGATTTTATGATATTTTTTTTCGCAAAAGTGCGAGTATGGGTAATAGTCTATAAACTTTTTATGGCCGTATTAAAAACTCAATTGACAATTGCACATGCTGCATATAAATATACATACAAGAATTACAATACAATACAAGAATTTCGAAATTTGCAGAAAAACTTGGCCAAATTAATGTTTCAACTTTTTTATGGCTGCGAGCATTATTTGAAATGAATATCCGATAATATTTATTTAGACATCTTTAGCTTTAATAGTAACCTCTCCATAAATACATACATACATAAAAATATGAGTATTTTTTCTCATCTCTTTGAGAGCTATAAACTAAAAATTTTCATTTTATTTTATCCTTTTTCAACATCTGTATACATATATAAGTGGAACAAACTTGATTGATTTTCTGTAAACGCTGGAATTTTATACAACCGGAAGCAAAAATGTTTTGTTAAAAATGTTAAATGAGTTAGTTGAATTTTACAAACCACAGTCTTTTATAAACTTTTAAGTAAAAACAAGAGGCCAAAAGTTATAAATTTTTAATGGATAGTTTTAATAACTTTTTTTTTTTTTAAGTCTTAAACGTCTTTGGTCTTTTCCTTTTCATCTTGAATCAAACCAGCCATGGCCAATTTTATTATGTGGTGGAACACACTTGACCAGAGCTTCATCATCAAGCAGCTGGAAAGGGTGCAAAGAGTCACCTTAATTGGAATCACAGCTACTCTGGCGCTTAATGCCATTTTAAATGTTGTGCCTATAGATATAGCAGGCAGGGCGGTGAAGGATTCCTTATCAATCGCATCGAAATACTCCGCTATTAAGCTTATTTTGGTTCCAGGTCACAGCGAAATCGCTAGAATTTGCATGGCCGTTGAGCTGGCAAGACAGGAATTGAGGAAATGCTTCCGGATAGAGGAGGTCTGGGGGCTCCCCTGACTTCGTGTAGTCTGCTTCTGGACAGATGCACATTTAGTCAGCTGAACGAGCGCTTAGCGAAGACCTTGGAATATAAGGTGGCAAAATACTTCTGGCCGCGAGTAGACCGGGGCGGTCTGGGGAGCTCTTGAGACTAAACAAGTACATATCTCGCTATTTATGGGAATGCCAACTAGTCATTTCGACCCTTACTGCACCAGCTGCATGGAGGTAGACAAGGTGGAATCATCTCCACAATTGCTGCTCTGGTTCTCTGCGAGCCTACGGTTTAAGCACCCTGGGTCGCACTTTTTTCACACTCCCGACGAGCTTCTCAAAATGGGCATCATCAGTCGCTTCAAGAGCTTCGTTACGAGCACGGAGTGTTTCTCTTGCAAGAAGCCATAGGTGTCGTCATTCTGTCCTTTACCCTCCCCTCCTTGTCTCTACGCTCCCCCTCACCTTCCGGCCTCTCTGCGTCCTCTTTCCTTTCCTCTCTTAGGGACATCAAAACGGGCGGCTTAGTCGTGTCTAAGTGTGCTCCATGTACGGAGGCAGCCCACTTACCTAACCTAACCGAACTCCGTAGTTATGAGCTTACAGGAAGGCAGCATTCCTAACCTCGTGCAAGTGTTGCAGAAACAAGGTTCTAAACTGTGGACCCTTGCATAGACGCAGTCGATATGCACAGACAGCAGTCGATATGCCAGATATGACCACTTTTCTGTGATTTAGTTCGTTCGTCTTCCCAGTTTGGTCTGCTTGCGAAAAATATTCTAATTTTTTGCTCAAATCTGTACCATGGAAGGAATCCATCAGCAGGTCGTTTCTTTCTTGATGACGATATGATTGGAGGTGCCTCAAATGCCGCAGTGTAAGTAGTTCTCATCCCACCGGAAATCCACTGGGGTACATCCGTACAACCTTGACTTTATTTCCGAAATACGCATAGATTGCTTGTGAAATAAATTTTACGGTGCACTAATTTCCCTGCCTGTACTCATAAAATATCCACATGAGGCCAGAGTGCTTATGCGTCTCTTTTAGCCTTTCCGTTATTTATCAAGAGCAATTAAATGCGCAAGTTTCCCTCAATTCTCAAGTCAAATAAAACTTCTATAGAATGCTACTGTACGCGATCCGGCTGCTTCAATAAAATTTCAGTTGTAAAATTTTTGTGACTTTGACATTGGCGATCAGCTATAAACAAGAGCAATGCAATTCGAGCCGACAGAGGTAAGCACCATTTACATATGTAGCTACTTATAGCCACCGAATTCGCAGTTGTTAATGACGCAGTCACAGTTAATATAAAATAACAAAAAAAAAAAGTGTTATAGACTTTCGTTTGCGCCATTTAAAGTTGATTTGTTGCACAGCAGACTGTGCGTCACGCAAGGCAGCATTGAACTGTTCAAATTATTGCAAATACATTTGCGACCACCTGTTACTTAAATAAGCACATAATTGAAAAGTTAAAAAGCTTATAAAATTTTAGCCATTTTAAGTACTGCACACGCTTGTATATGTACACACTCGTATATCGCCTATTTTATTGAACCAATTAAAATTGCGAAATGATTTTGTTGTTTAATTGCAGAGGGCAAAGCCATGGCCACCGCCTATGATTGCAAATTCATTGAAACCTCTGTGGGCATAAATCACAATGTCGATGAGCTGTTGGTCGGTTTGTTGTCGCAGATACGTTTGAAATTGGAAAATCCGGAAAAATCAAGGTGAGTGAATGACGATAAATATCTAAATGAATAAAACGAAACTGCCACACTTTTGCATAATTCAATAAAAGGCACGTACAAACACATACCTACATACATACACACATGTGGCGCAAATCAATTTTAATTACATTGCCAAAGCCAAAGGTGACTGAAATAGTAATGAAAACAATAAAGGTCGATTGCAGCAACAGACCAACAGATTGCGCCAAAGTGCAATGAGCACAAATGCCCGACCGGCGAGAAAGCAAGCAAAAACAAAACTGCACACACTAACAAACAACAACACTGGTGCATTAGCAAAAATTGAAAACGAAAAACGAAAATAAGCTAAAAAGCAAATGGCAGAATCATGACAACAATTAAGCCGATTGAACAGCCGTATGGCAATAGTCGCAACGCCTGAACGATTCATTGATTGCGTGCCCAGAAGGCGGCATGAATTACCCACACGTTCAACGCTGTGGCATTCAACATAAACAATAGCACAAGCACTTCCTTGTTGGTATTTCGCTATCTACAAATGTTGCTGCCGCTAAAAGCATTGTTGCTTTCACTTTGATTGTTTTGCTTCTAAGCAAAGCTGCTTGGTATTTTTTTTTTGTGCTGTCACTTTGCTGCTTCAATTCTACGTTTTACCCTTTCATTCACTTTTATTACGTGTTGTACAAACATACCTACTTATTTACTGTTTCTACTCTTTTTCGCCTTCTTTGCAGGGATCTATTCCGTAAACGTTCGATTCGTAAGTCTAAGCGTCGCGCCTGCTCACCACTCAGCGGCGCCTGCCTAACCGGCGGCACTAACCCCAACTCACCGCTGGGACCAATGAATAATGTCATTTCCGATGCCAATACACCGCCCGGCAGTGCACAAAGCAGGTGAGTGAGAGATATGTCAAAAGATATGTTGAATACTTAGGCATATTTAGTTATATGTAAGTTAAAATATTAGGGTGGTTCTTTTTGTGTAAAAACTATGTTTTCGCAATTTTTGAAACACAAACGTAGAAACAGATGTAAAGATTTTCAAGCTTTAGGTTTAGTACTGTAATTTATTTTGTTTTAAATATATCGCACTGAGGTGAGGTTTTTTAGATATGTGGAGAGTTATGGTGAGTTTGCACTTTTCTTATGAATACCCCAAATCACTATAGAGAGTTTTCACTCTCTGCGTCTCTCCGTAAAAACTTTACGAAACTAACAAAAGTTTTCGCCCCAAAGTTTTTTCTAAAACTTTGAGTAAAATGAACGCTAAAAAATTAATAAGGCCTGCCTCTGTAAAAATGTAATTGAAATTTGATCAGTTCCATGGTTTTGGAACGAGTTTAGGTTAGTCTCGATTGTAGTTGCTGCTTTCATCCTGGAGTCAGATACACCACATTTCGCTAACACTGGAATCATCCCAATAATAGCTACATATCAAATGATTCTTTATCGGAAAGATATCTTTCCTAATATAGGCCTCAAAGCCGATCTTTTTTAAGGACCTTACCAGTTCAAAACAGTTTTTCCACGGGGTTTTTAAAACCTGCAAATTAAGAACTATTTTGTTTTTATCAATACGGTTATTAGGGGCTTATTATTGGATAATTGATGTACATTAGACTGCATCACCAAAAAAAGTTACGGTATTCGGAAAAATAATAAGATTTACGTCAGCTGGACCGATTAGAAAATACCTCCAAAAATGGAGCTTTTATGAATAAAAGAACTTTTTTGAACAAAATCCCACTCAGATGACAAAACAGTTTAAGCTTAAAAGTCTGCATAAAAATATATGAAAAAAATTTTTAACAAAAGCATAGAAATGGGAATTTTGATGTTATTTTTTAACTTTTTTCAAAGATGGGTTTTTTTATTCATAAAAAGCTCCATTTTTGAAGGTACAGTTCACGTAAATCTTAATATTTTTCCGAAATATTTTGGTGCAAGTCTTAAAATATACCTTATAGATTTTATAATTCCAATGGGAACACAGTACCGTTTTTTTTTGGGGGGGGTGATGCAGTCTAATGTACATATCTGAATGCTATGCCGAATTTCCACTAGGCATTGAGATGACAAAAAATTGGGGGCATTTTAGAAATGCCTTTGAAAATGAATTTAATTACTATTTGTTTGTTTGCCATTTAATGCCAAGTGGAAATCCAGCATTAGGCGTATGTGTATTTATGTTTCTCCTACAATCACCAATTTCTACACATACTACGTACAAACATAAAACTAATAACATCTTGCATCTCTCTTCCATCTCTTCCAGCCCCCGCAAATATCGTGGCTCTCGCACATCGACCAGCCTAAAAGTTAAAGGTCTCTTGGGACGTGTCTGGGCACGAGACTCCAAGTCGAAGAGTTGCGAAAATCTACATGTGCTGTAAGCAGTTAGCAGCTGTATTTAAGCTTACAGCCAACTTACTCGCTGTTCAACGTGTGAAAGCTGCATATTTGTTTTGAATGCGTGTGAATAGAGAACTACATACATATGTATATGAAGTGTAAGGAAAACATTCGTGTCGAGAAAAACGTTGGACCAAACTAACCAAAGAAAAATATTTGCCATATTTATAAGCTGTTCTCACATAAAGAACTGCATACTATAAGAATTTAAGTGAAATGTGTGTTAAATATGGAAATGGTATGCGACTAAAAATACGAGTATAAAGAATGTAAGAGAAAATATTTCATTTTTATTCTGTAAATAGTAGTATTGTGTTTTTTGTATCTAAATTAAGTAAAAATGTCATCTATCATTGTATTACACACATATGTCTATATTTCTTCATCAATAGTATTTAAAAAAAAAATAGCAGTTGTAACGGAAAAATAATTACTTCCATACACAAAAAATATTTACATGTCTATATGTTCGCGATCATACACGCGCACTTTAAATGAAATATTTTTATTTTATTTTTCATTATTTATAATTATTTATAAAAATATATTTTCTATTCGTAAGTTGACTGTATAATTGTGTAATGAAAAAATATATATTATTTTATTGGAAACCCAAATTTGTGTTCAGTTCTTTATTTAATTTCATTAATTTATAATTATTTTTTTTTTAACTTTTTATTTCATACAGAAGTTTTTTCCTTTGGTCCTTTTTTATCGAAATGGTGTCATTTAAACGGAATATGCGCAGACAGGTGTGGTTTTGTATGCCATTCAACCAAAGGATAACCCAAAAATTGGACAGTTTAATAAAAACATAGATAAATAAGTACCATATCCGTCAAAATTTTTAGGCGAATAATTTTTTAGAATTTCGTACCAAGTTTTATAAATCTCTTGCATTTGCTAGGGCACGTAATTTTTGTAATTGCATGTCAATCACTTAGTCATTAAAGAGTAAGAAATAGAAAATTTGCAATAAAAATTTCAATAGTAAGGACGATTATAAATGTAATAAATTGTACTCGTAGTTAGTACCAAATAAATGCTAATACATTTTTATCAGATCTATGTGAAATGGAGTTGGGTTGCCAAGTTTTTATTTGCACAAATGTGGTGCAAAATACTTAAATCTCAACCTATGGATTTTCGTATCTTTCAACACATGCGTGGCATTGAAACAGAGCATGCCTTAAGGGTCCTAACTCTCCGAAAAATCGAAGTTTTCAGCCATCCCGTTTAGAGAACAACGACAGTTCTTTACGATTTTGAAGTTGGTCTGATTCAGCCCACCCTAATGTTCAAACTGACTTCGAAAAGCATACGACTCAGTAACTCATCACTGTTTCTTTAGTTCAGTAATAGTACATACAAGCAAAATATTGAAGAAATTAAATATTTGTCATAGCTCAATTATGCCACCTCACTCAGATGACTCATTCAAAGGAGCTTGAGTTATAGGATCGACTTGTAAAAATTCTCACTGGGGTACCGCGTAGATGTCTGAAATTAAGATATTACTGTTATTTCTGCCTGAATAAGTAGTACTGCAAAGGTCTGGTAGAGGGTACAACCGAGTTAAGCTCGGCTTCTTTGACGCACACTACAAGCGCCGATCCTGTTCTTCATCGCAGCGCAAAATAAAAAAATACACGACTTCTTATTTTCGATATCCTTAAATTCTGGGGGTGGCTGGAAAAAAATGTTGCTACCCTAGTGTACAAACATATCTACAGTGACTGAAAAAAGTAACCAGGTGTTGATTTTTTTTACATATTCGTAATGTTTTTCGACTATCAAATTGTATGCAAACCCAGATCTGTTCAAAAGATTCATAGTTAAAAGTTCAAATTTTTGATGAAAATTTGTTCAAGCTTGGACCATATTTTTATAGAAAATAAAATAAACTCGAAAAAGGAATATTTAAAATAAATCAACACCTGGTCACTTGTTTGAGTCACTGTATGTTTATTCTGCAGTGAATTTTAATAAAACCAGTTGCATTTTGTAGCAAAACAATTCGCCTTGGTTGAAGAAAATGTATTTAAAAAATAAAAAATCCGAAAGCTTCATAACTAGTACACCCGGTACAATGTACACACCAGCTTCCTGTTCAGACATCTCCATTTCTATTATTTTCTAGAGGCTTTTTTGCACCTGAGCACTCTTAAGTATATTTAGGTATTTTAAAATAAATGTGTTCGAAAACGAAAGCCCGAAGCTTGATTAATGCACACGCAAGCTACAGGGTGTCCATAAAATTTTTAATCATTTTTAAAATGTAAGTAATTTGAAATTAATAAACATAGCTAATAATACATTCATATATGTACATTGTACAATAATAAAATAATTTATTTTGAAGATAAATTAATTAATTTCTACATTTCATAATTTTCAAAAGAGTAGAATTTACTATTTGATTGCAAAATCAACGTCAGATGATGAGAGTTAAATCCCAGTTGGGTTCTAAAATCAGAAATTAATTTTTGTGAATATTACGGATAGGGAATATTCAATATAGCTACTGCTGTATTCCTGAAAATAGGGCTAATAAATCTCTTAACAGATGCGCACAACTCTGGCATCCCTGTTTTTTTTTTTTTTTGCATTTGGTTTAGGTGCTGGCCGTATAATAAGCACGGATTCAAATAGGCGAGCATATGGCAGCGATGGCCAATATAAATCCTCTATATAGCCTCCCCTGGTACGAAATGTATGACATATATAAAGTCGGTAGCTTTTAACCCTGTACTTCAGATTGCGAACAACACCAAAAAGGAACTGGAGACAGGTGGACTTAAGTCCACCAATGTCCCTATTACCAAAAAAAAGGAATGACAACTTAACTAGACCCACCTTGGCAAGGACAGAAATTGAGATCTGAGAAGAGACGATAAGTAGATATAAATTTAGTAATCACAGCTACTAGTAGGTCTATTAACTCTCGACAAAAGGCCTAATTGGAACTCCCATCTCTCGAATATTACCAACAATGCTACAGGGCATTTATGCCTATCTGAAACTAATTGATAAAACTTGGGGTAAATCACCAAGGGTATTTGAATACGCTTATAAAATTCGTTCTTACATATGCGGCGCTGTAAGAAAGGGGGTCCCCCCTTAAGCATGCTGCACCGACTGGTGGGCTTGGCCATCACAGGCGCTGTGCGGATCTGTCCTTGGTGTCATGAAATACATACCTCTCATGTCCATCTTTTGCCCAATGCGATCAGCATGAAAAGTGTAGATCGTCTACAAACTCAAAATTCCTAAAGTGGGTTGCTGTTCAGCGGTAATATCTACGATTGACGGAGGGTCCAAATTATGGTATACCGACGGATCGAAGATGGACGACAGGAGTACCGGGGCAGGCGTACTTGGACCAAGATTCTAGACAAGTCTGCCAATAGGCACATATCCAACCACATTTTGGGCGAAAGTCTTAGCTACCGAAGTGTGTGTTCGCATAAAAAATAAATTTTTGAAAACGTGTCGATTTTTTGGCGGTTATGGCTCGTTATGTCGGATAGTTAGGCAACGTTAAAAGCCTTATACTCATTTTACACTACAAAAATTCTCTTCGACCATCTGGGAGCCCACGATAGAGTAACGCTGTGGTGGCTCCCGGGACATTAAAGGCTTGAAGGTAACGAAGCAGTTGTCTGGGAGAGTCTTAGGCCGCTTAATGACTACCTTGAATAAAATGAGATTTTTTGTAGGAATGCAGGGTTTTTGTCGTAATAATAAAAATAATAGTTTTCACTCTGTCAGTTCTCTCGAAACAAGTTGCCAGTGATGGAAAAATCTTGAAACTATTCAATTTATTTTAATATTATGATTTTAGTTTCTCATTCATTTAAATAACTCAATGAATAAAAAAATATTAAATTGCTTTAAACATAAATATAGCGAAAAATTACATAGAATTTAGAATCACAGTTCCAAAATCGGTAGTATTGGAGAAAGTTTTAAACATCGTGCATTTTTTGTACACTTATAAGGCGAAATTATTAAAAAATATTTACAAGAAAATATAAGTATAACATTTTTTTTTTTTAATTTCTTGTTTAATAGTAAGTGATTATTAAGTAACGCCCATGCCTGTCCGTCCCGGATAACGTTTTTATGGTTTCTGGGTAGCAATTTTGTGTAAAAAAAAATTGAATTTTTAAATTTTTAAATTTATAAACCACCACTTACTTTAATATTAAATTTCTAGGATATTAAATTTTGTAAAAGAAAATTATACATTTAAGTAAAAAAAATTGGCATTGACTTTATAAACATGTATAATAAAACTCGATTTTTCTGTAGAACAAATAAGAAACCGAAAAGTAGCGAAAAAGCGAATACGAATATTTTGTACGAGCTTCATGATTAAAAATTAATGTAGTATGTATAGAAATACATAGTAACAAAATCAAAAATCCATTTCACACATAATTCCGGTGTAAAACTCTAAATGTTTTCGAAAAAATATGTATAATTGTATTTGTGAAATTATAATATTTGAGTAACGATAGTCGTAAATGAAAATTTTTGTACCCACTAGCCCGGCCCACAATGTTGGACATAACTAAATAGCAAACCATTTGATTATCGTATATGCATTTGTATATTTGTGTACTAAAATCAATAAATAAATATGTATACATACAAACATATTTCAAAAAAAAAATAAAAATTGAATATAATCAAATATGCTGCACAATGGAATTTAAAAAATCAAACGATCGATTATGTCAAGATTATGATGGCACTGAAATCGACCAATTTGAATTATCGAAAAACAATTCACCGACAGCCGGCTGGTTGGCTTTAGTGTCACACGAATTGCATAATCGATTCGTTGGAAGAAAATATTCCTCAGAATGGGGGATCAACAATTAAAATCGGTAGTTAAATTCGACGTATTTTTTTCATGTATTCATGTATGTGTCCAATTAAATCGTAAATGGGAGATTAAAAAAAAAATTAAAATTAAAAAAATTTACTCATAATTTTGTCAAGCATCATATTGCTGATATTTTCATAAAAAAAAAATGCCATACATTGGTGAAAAAATCCAAAATTTACCAGCGATAAAACATAAAATTCACTTACAAAAAAATATTTAAAAATATATAAAAATAATAATAAAAATTATATGTACACATAAATATGTATAATTGTCGTTCCAGATATATAATGTTTTTCGACTAAAAATGTGTACTGAAGAGAAGCTTGAAATTAATCAAGGCATATTTAAGATTTAGTAAATGATTAACAACAAACTCGCATATTTACATTAGGGTGTATCACCAAAAAAAAAGTTGCGTTATTCCACCGGAAATGCTTTAAGACTTCCGCCAAAATATTTCGGAAAAATATTAACATCCACGCCAGCAAGACCGATTCGAAAATACCTCAGAATACCTTGATATTTTTTCCGTTGATAAAATTTTTAAACATTGACCTTTTAAACTTAAACTTTTCTATCTTCTGGGGAGATTTTTTTTAGAAAATATATTTTTAAGAGTAAATAATTTTAATTATAAAATCTCACGTCAAACTTAATATTTTTCCGAAATATTTTTGCGGAAGTCTTAAGATATAACAAACTTGATGTATATTTCCGATGGAAAACAGTACCGAGTATTAGTAGTTTTGAAAAATGAGTACAGCGCATAACGGTGTATCGAATTTGTAGATATGTATTACTGGTGTTGGTAGACAAAAGTCGATATGTAATCACAGTGTAACAGTTTTTGCAGTTCAATAAAAAAGTTTACTTTTGTTGAGTAGAACTAGCGAGCAGAGTGTAGTTGAGAGGGCTTATAAGAAATTGAAAATATAACTGAAATGTATATTTCGAAAAGCAACCACATAATTACATACATATGTACATTATTTTTTCTAAGTCAAATCGTAAAATAAACTTATAAACTTAATAAAATGTGCACTTCTTTTTTTATTTTTTAATTTTTTGTTAAAGGTAAGTTAAGTAAGAAACAAATAACAGTGTACCGTTTTCATTATAGACAATGCTTTTTATTTTGTTAACGTCGTCAACGGAAAAGCCCTCGCTCTGTATTGCACTCATCATCTTCCCGATTACTTTACTTACTGGAGCCGATGGTATCCTGGCCTAAGGCCAAGGCCACGCAATGAGCGGCATTTCCAGATGTTGAAAAGCCACTTACCGAAAATTGCGTGGGCTCGGCCTAAGAGGGTCTGCAAAGCCAGCATGACCTACATTTCGCAAAGCTGGAAAAGAGGCAAAGTGTCCTTCATTCCTAAACCGAGAAGAAAATCAGACGAAAAAGCTAAGACGTCAAGCCAATAAGTCTGATATTTTCTTTCGTCGGCTTTGGCCGAGACCAAAAACCTCGCCAATTGCCTCTGTCCTTTGTGAAGTTGCGCCAGTTATACAGCCCGGGTGCAGACAGGTCTTTCTGCACTTTGTCTTTCCATTGTATTCGTGGGCGCTCTTTCGTTCGTTGGCCACCCATCGGTGCCGCGACGGACGATCTTTTCACCGAAGCCTCGTCATCCGTGCGTTTAACATGCGAATGCCAACACAATCGGTGCAGTTTTATTCGCTCAACCATGTCCACGCCGTTAATAAAGCTCATACAGTTCGTAATTTCACGCTTTTTGGTAAGCGTAATTTTTGTTCATCTAGAAAGGGCTCTGCTTTTCGATTACCTAATGGGCCCAAAGTAGCACCGGTTGGCAAGAAACATTCCTCACTTGATCTACAGGCTAACAGTGTTTGTGGTGTTTATGCTGCATCATTGGTAGACAAGGTAATTAACTACTTCAGAGTTATATTTAATTGCCAACAGTGACGTGTGTCCCAAAAAACCACACCTTTGTATGTGCTTTTCCAGGTCTGAAGTTACACTAATAAGGTCCAATAAATGGATTCAATACGGAATTCAATCTTTCCCACAGCATCGTCGCCAGGACCTTATACATATGAAATGCTAAGAAGGCTAATTCCACGGTAATTGGCGCAAACCTGAGACTCCGATTTTCGGGCATGTATTCATCAGACCAAAGTCTGCTAAGAAGCTGGTGCATGCTCCCTGCCAACCCTCTGTTTCTCGGCTTTGCTCAGCCGCTAAACCATCTTATCCCGGGCTTTGTTGTTTCTGTCACATTATTGCGGTTCTCACCTCGTCTTACGAGTGGAAGCAGGTGAGCTTCGTCCCCATACATTGGTGCTCGAAACTTTTTTGCACTCGAAAACTTTGAAAAGTATTCCTTCCATATCTCAAGTGTACTCTGGACGTCTGTTATCATATTTTACATCGTCGCGTCATGTCTCACATGCATCCTGATAAAGGCACTGGAAAGATTGTTACCCATGTACATCAGATACCTTTTCTAAGTTCCAAGGTATCACATTAATTATATTTAGGGCAGGTCGAACGAAACCGTCCTACATTAAGTTGTAGTGGCTATAGAAAGTCAATAGTCAAGCAGTACACTCACGCACTCCGGCTATAGAAACATATCCGGTCACGAGGGGACTGGCGAAGGCTGGAGCATCTCTTGATGAATCCGAGGTCGAGACAATAAACTGTGCAGACGAAGTCATGAGGAGGGAAATGTTCTTGTGATTCGCACGAATGTCTGAGTCACGATGGAACAACATACTCGTAAAACCCTTCAAAAGTGCAAGGAGCACAGAATTATATAGCGAACCAGTCTAGATAGAGCTCCTCCAATCTTAAAAGACATATCCAGACTAATACCCTGGCAAAAATCCTAATTGGGCCTAAGTCCTTCATGCAAATGCAAGCTATTTGAGGCCAGGAGAGCAGAAGTAACGTACCCACAATTTCTTTTTTGTATACTTAGCGTCTTAAAATAGTTTCAAATGTGATCAGTTTCAAGTAAAGGTCGTAATTCTACATTACGTTACGTAGCTCGTTCGAGATGCATCAACAAACATTTTTTTTTCGAATAACGAATATACTTACTTTAAAATTTCCCCTTAATAGGCAGTGCAGCTACTTGAAGCTTTCACTAATTTAAAATTTAATGGGCGTAAATACTCAAAATTCTAATTAATAGGAAAAATTTAAAACCTGATAAAAAACAAACTGCTGAAATAAAATCGGTTGGAAATGCGCCATACAACAAAGGTGTATTCGCGTATTCTTCTAGCAGATTACTCCAATTTATAAAAATCTATCAATACGCAAATGCACATATAAAATGCATGCTCAAATTTCCAATTAATTTGAAAAATTAAAAATTATAAAACTGTAAACTGCAAAAAAACCGTTCGGGAATAAAAGCGAAATGCAACAAAAGGGTTCGGAAATCCTCCTGAAAAAAAATGTCTAACAGAATGAAAAAAATACTAATCATCAGGTGCGCCCTGCATTTGCTTTTCGTAAATCGGTCTAAAATTATTAACTTCACGGCCAGAGGACGCTGCTGCCAGAGAACGTTTAATACAAATTAATAATTCGTAATTGCTGCTTCTCTGTATTAAACGTTCTCTGGAATATATTCTAACGAATATGTAATGAGCTCAAAAAGAGTATCCACACAAAATTCATCGAGAAAAGTATTTACTTTGATCCGTATGGACCGAAACGGCAACATTGCTCAACTGTCAAATTACATAAAAATTTCCCAACCGATTCGCATTTCATCCCTAAAAATCCCAAAACAAATAAGTGGAACAAAAAAACTTATCACCCTGTACTTGCGTAGTGCATTCCAATGATTCCCGGTAGTGCATTCCAATGAAAAAATTCCAGCAAGTTTGACATTTGTTTGACAGATCAATTTTAAGAGAGAAAAAGATTATAGTTGGAAAAATTTTGCAATTATATTTTAAAAGTTAAGCAAACGCTTATTAAAGTGGCTTTAACAATAGTTTAAGAAAAAGAAGGCAAAGTAGCGCGTAAAATTGTTTTCTTGCACCACACCCACAAAGCAGAGGCGAATAGAACATGGTAAGTGCGCAGCGTTGGCCACAGCAGCTCCACTTTTAGACGAAAAAAGATTACAAAAATTGCAAAAAAAATAAACATAAAAGCGGCAAACAATTGTGGCAATTGCATAAATTGGGGAAAAATAACAAGAGTGCCCGAGCTGTACCGGTAGAGGTGGTGATAAGCAAGGGCTGCTGCTCCGAAGTCTGCACACCCACCACCCGCGCCAAGTGACTCGCCTTAAAAATTTTAATGACGTTGCATGACCATTTTCGACAATTTAATTGAATACCAATTCTTTTGATTATTGATTTCCCACTGAGAGGTCATAAATATCGTAGCAAACACCACAAACGCCACAATCGGACCATATTTACCACAACATTTACAAAAACAAAATAAACTCGCACATAAAACCTTTATTAAGACAATTGTACTACCACCTCAACTGCAATCACGGCGGTCGGCATGTATCCATGGAATTCAACATCTTACAGCCCAAGTGGCGGTGGCGGTGTCAGTAGCGAACGCCGCATGGTAATTGATCCAAATACAATAACACATACACTCACATTATAAAAATACTGCCACTTATCGGCTAACTGGTATACACCCACTTTCAGCAAAAACTCATTCATCTCTTAGTACCTTCCCGTCTTAATCCACATGCTCATATTGTGCGCTAGTAGTGTATAATGTGTCTTACACCTAACACTTGTGTACTTTTGTCTCTGCGCTAAATTCCAATGTTATCTATGAACAATTCAATCACATTGTACTTTTTTACGCTAGTTTGTGTCTGTGTCTAACGTGTTTCTCAAGCTGCCAATTATGTTAACTTGATTGTCATTAATAAATTCTAAGGAAAGCATCTGTTAGTTGACGGCACAATGCCTTTTATATTGTATCCTTTGCTGCAACGTATGCAAATCTTATGTGATGATAATAATAGTTACTTCTCTGATAAAAAATGCCTAGTGTAATTTCTTAACTATACTTGCAAACATTTTGATCACAGCAAAAGTTTTAAACTGTCAAACTTTAACTGAAATCATTGCCATTTTCATTCCAAATGATCAGGCTTAATTTAACCAATAATGATCAAATTTATCTCGCTATTGTTATTGTTTAACTGAATATATGCAAATGTAGATGTGAAAATATATGTGTACTACATGTACATATGTTCTTATCAGCGTCTACTCTTTTTAATAGCGCACACCCACTAGAATGTAAAATTAAATTAAAATCATATTCCAATGAAGTCCTCGCTAGAGCACTAGAACAGCTTATTTGTCATTGCTTGGCTTTTAGAAAGACGTGACTCGGTCTGCATTTTTCACACTGTTAAATTTGTTAATGCTAGATCAAAAGTGCATAACGATTAAGATCTGAAATATTACACCTCCATGTTCTTAGTAACACAAGTGAACACCTTACTAACCGAAAATAAAATCATTGAATCGCCAAGCAATAAAAGTTTAAATACATAATTTCATTCAGCTCATCAAAACTTATTTTCAGGTGGCTTTTGGAAATGTTTCCATCGTTATTTTAACAATACCTGCTCAACTTCCATAAATTAAAATTTTCGTTTTGATAATTAATCTCCTGATTCTTATAAATCCGTTACCACCGTTCCCACTCAAACCGCAAATAATGCGCTTATCATTGACTTGGTGTGGCTGGCAATTCATATTTCTGTGTATGTTTGTAAAGTTTTGTGTGCATTCAAAAGTATTCGCTCATACACTCACATGCATATGTACGTAGTATTGTAGTTGTGGCTTCGGAAAAAAATTCATAAGAACATTTCCATTGTTGTTTTTACAATTGTGCTAATTGGTGTTGCTATTCTACTCATCGCCGTTGTTAAATTGCACTTCTAATATGGGTTATACATCTGATATTTAGAAAAATATATATGTTTCTACATGTATACAATCATAACTTAAAGCTTGCTCGAGTATCAGTAAATTCGGTTGTATGTGTTTAACGGGCATTTATTGAAAGTAATTTTTCGCGCGATATACATATGAATTATGTATGTCGATCGGTTGTTGTTGGCTATTTCTCAATTGATGCCAAGACGCAAATAATGATTGTAATGAAATTGCAGCTCCGCTAAACAATGTAGAGTATGCAAACTCGACCTGCGCTTTTATAAAACCATTTATGCTCGCATCATATGTATTTATGTATAATATTTATTTTATTTCATATTTTCATTTTCTGCGAAAATCTGCAGACTATGCCGAGTGGTCTAGACGATCAGGAGAAGCTTTTGGCCGAAGCTATAGGCACAGCGAAAAAACAGGCATTCCAAATGAATCACTTCCTAGACAAGGATCGCATATTGGATGCGCTTAAATGTGCTAGCACAATGCTGAGCGAGCTGCGCACCTCCATGCTCTCGCCGAAGAGTTACTATGAGTTATGTAAGTTAGTTGTACTGGTTTCTACATTGTCACTGAATTTCTCATACGAAATATTTCCTTTTTTCACAACCTCAGATATGGCCATCACCGATGAGCTTTGCCACCTGGAATTATATTTGAGCGAAAAAGCCAACAAAGATACGGATTATTATGAACTTGTGCAGTATTCGCATACAATTGTGCCACGTCTATATCTGCTCATTACCGTCGGTATTGTGTACATCAAAAAAGATTCCACGCTTAAGCGTAGTATACTCAAAGACTTGGTAGAGATGTGCCGTGGTGTGCAACATCCACTACGTGGGCTATTCCTACGCAATTATTTGCTGCAGTGCACGCGCAACATATTGCCAGATGTGCTTGTGGCAGAAAACGAACACCATGGCAATGTATTGGATGCCATCGATTTCGTCTTGACGAACTTTGGAGAGATGAATAAATTATGGGTGCGTATGCAGCATCAGGGCCACTCTAGCGAAAAGTCACGGCGCGAGAAAGAACGTGAAGAGCTAAAGATTTTAGTGGGCACGAACCTGGTACGTCTTTCGCAACTCGAATCTGCCACGTTGGAACACTACCAGCGCTATATATTGCCTGGTATATTGGAGCAGGTGGTTAGTTGTCGCGATGCTATTGCACAAGAGTACCTAATGGAGTGTATTATACAAGTGTTTCCCGATGAATTCCATCTGCAAACCTTAGATCCGTTCCTAAAGTCGTGTGCCCAACTGGAAACTGGTGTAAACGTAAAAAATATAATAATTTCTTTGATCGACCGCTTGGCGGCCTACAATCAGAGGAGTGGCAAGGTTTGCAAAACCATCTTTTATACATTTAAGCATACAATGGTAGGAAATATTTTATTTTTGCAGACAAGCGGGACTGACATTGAGTCCATTATACCGCCTGAAGTGCAGTTATTTGAAGTGTTCAGCATTCAAGTGGCAAATATTGTGCAGGTGCGTAAACGATATTCATTATTATTTTTTATTTACATTTTCTTACGAAATTCACTTTTTGATGCAATTTTGTTTTACAACCCATATCCCATCACCTGTTCCCAATAGCTACCCGAAAAATTTACTGTAAATTTTATACTATGTCACAATAAATTTTTTCTTATGGGCGAAATTATCATATGTGCTAAGAAATTAGAATTTAAAGACCTTTCTGCAAAAGAATCTTGCGTCTAGTTATAATTCCCAATTATCACTGCAAATCTGAACTTTTGTATTGATGATGCTAGTCAGAGCAGAGAAAAATACAAAAAAACCCTTTCCTGTAAAATTTGGTTTTTGTAACATACGATAATTATGCTTGAAAGACTCTTCTTGAATTATATTTTTAGACTCGCACCGATATGCCACTGGAAGACACGATATCTCTGCAGATTGCGCTGCTGAGTCTCGCGCAAAAAGTTTACCCAGATCGCGTTGATTATGTGGATAAAGTGCTTGGCACCACGACACAAATTTTGGAGAGCCTAGAAATGAATAAGTAAGTAAATTTAATTTAAATTTTTAACTGTAGACTAAGATATTCAAAGTGTACCTTGAAAGGTGCAATAGAAATGCACTCGAACCTTATTCTCAAAATATCCCCTGGTGTCGTCCGAGTTATATTGAAAAACCTCTTACTATCAGCTCCTGTTACCTTTGAAGCTATACTTTGAATTGTAAATTTAGCGTTATTGTTATAACATCTAACCATGGAACATCTTCTTCTTTATTATTTCAAGCATTTCTCATTTCCTGTCGGTAAATCAAGAATTATCGCGTCTCCTACGCATTTGCATCGATTTCTACAACAACGCACTGACTGTTATACAACTAAAGAACTTCACGCCACTACTAGACAAGTTCGACTATGTTTCACGAAAATCAGTGGCCCTCTATTTGGTTATGAATGTGCTTGAATTTGAAACTCTCATACCAACAGCTGAACAAACTGAACATGTACTGACCATAATCACACCGCTAATCAAAGACGAAGAAGTGCCCATTGGTCCGGATGGCAAACCAGTTCCCCAACCAGTCAATGGTAATAACGTCGATCCCGAAGAATTCGCCGAGGAGCAAGGCATTGTTGCGCGGTAAATTTGGTTGAGCTCCTCTTGCATGCACACAGCTATTTAACTTTATGTTATTTTGCAGTTTCATCCACTATATAAAGTCCGATGAACCCGACATGCAGTATAAAATTCTACAATCCGCACGCAAGCATCTGGGCGCCGGTGGCCCACAACGCATCAAGCATGTTCTACCGCCACTCATCTTTTCTGCCTACCAATTGGCCTATAAATATAAGGCAATCGCTGAGGAGGACGAAAACTGGGATAAGAAGTGCCAGAAAATATTACAATACTGCCACAGCACAATTGCGGCGATAGCCAAAGCCGACTTGGCCGATCTGGCGTTGCGTTTGTACCTACAAGGTGCGCTGGTTATTGGTGAAATAGGTTACTCAAATCACGAAACAGTGGCTTATGAATTTATGACGCAAGCATTCTCACTGTACGAGGATGAAATATCTGATTCAAAGGCACAGTTGGCAGCAATTATGCTTATCATGTCCACATTCGAACAAATGGCATGCTTTAGTGAAGAGAACGCTGAGCCTTTGCGCACAAATTGTGCGCTTGCAGCCTCTAAACTATTGAAGAAGCCCGATCAGTGCCGTGGTGTGGTGGCGTGCGCTGCGCTCTTCTGGAGTGGCAAGTAAGTTCAGTCCAGACAGTTGCTTTTTCTATTTTAACTAACTGGTTATTTACATCTTTTATAGGAAAAATGGTGAGGAGATGCGTGATGAGAAACGCACGCTGGAGTGTTTGAAGAAGGGCGCACGTATAATTGCGCATGTAAGTAACAAGTAATACATTTACGTGCAGTTGAAATTTCTATGACCTGTTTCCCTTTAGTGCTTGGACGTTGGTGTACAAGTGCAGCTATATGTCGAATTGTTGAATCATTATCTCTTCTATTTCGAACGTGGTAATTCCCTGATTACTGTGGCAATGTTAAATCAGGTGCGTATGCCTTATAATATTTTGTAAGAATGGTCAATTTTTAATTACCAAAAATTGTTTCAGCTTATCGCCAAAATCAACGAGGACTTACCAAATCTGGAGTCCACAGAGGAGACTAAACAAATCGAAATGCATTACAAAAACACATTAGCGCATATTAAAAGCCGCATGGAATCGAACGATGCGGGCTTGGAGGTTTCATTCGCCGGCATTTCCATAAATTAGTAAATGTAATGTGTCATTACTTAAAGCGCATATAGTTTTTGTACAGCGTGCGTTCTCAGTATGGTTTTTATTTGAATTATCTCTATATACCGTTTGCATTGTATGAATGATAGCAGTATGTAATTGAAGCGCCAGCAGTATGAACTTCCTTTTGAGTTTTAAAACACAAAACGCTTCCCTATTTTATTATCTGCTTAAGTTGTAACTACAGTGCTATTTTTTTCACTTCTGCACTTAATTTTTTGTTGCATATTTTACAAAAAAGCATAAAAAGCTAAAGATGGTATTCAGTTGTTCAAAGTGATTATATATATGACAGCTTCTATTATGTGTTTAGCGAATTAAAATTATATCGAAATTCCATTTATTGTAAATCGATTGGAAGACTATTATAAATATTGTATTGATTAAATTGTTAATCACTTGATTATTGCTAAAATTATGCCCATTTATTTCCAATTTCTTTACACATTTAAACCCATACTTACGATTATTATGTATGTAGGCGATAAAGCTTGTTACTTGCTTAGCTTCTCCAAATCGGAATTATACTTCAATTGCTGCAATTTTTAGTTGCTTAAAACAACAACACATTCTTGATAACAAATTTTTTATTTAGTATTACTACACATATAAAAACAAACATATTACAAAAGAACAAAGTAAGCAATGGACATAAAAATTATGAACGCTGGAAAATATCCTAAATATTCGAAAGCAAAGCAACAATACTTTTCGGCTAGTAAGCGCTTAGAAAGTGTGCTGAAAGCATGCAGGAGCTACCGAATATGTCAAGATGACTTAAAAACTAGAAAACACTGATTATGATAAATTCTTAATAATGAATAAATAAACATTGAGATAACAGAGTTTTAGAAAAAAAAAACATAAAATTGTTTTATTTTGCTTTGGGAAGGAGTTTTTAGGTACTCAAAAAATAAATTAAGTCATACATATCGACAGCCTTTAGAAACGGACTTTGCATTGCCTATGTATGTATGTATGAGTGTTTTAAATGTCAAAGTATATCTATTTTTTACGAATGTGTCTTTTTTCAGTGTAACCAATCAATAAGCAGGAATGCAACAGGTGTCGGCCGGCAGTCAACCTCAGCATACCAGGCGAATAGCACTGAATGGTAGGCTGCATGCTTCCGTATTATCATATCCATAAGGGTTTAGTTTTTAATCCAAGCTGGATATTGGAAATACTCGGGTCGAAGTATTTTAACCTGAGTTTCATAAAAGTGGATACATAGTTTCCTACATTTTAATTGTCATCTCCCGCGAACGCCTTCGCAGAATGAGATAATAAAATAATAAATATCATGTCGGAGGGTTAGGCAGAACTAAAACCAATATACTCATTTACTCCTATTAGCCATGGGGGCTTCGATTATAACAAAACGGCTGACACTCTTGCCAAATTTGTGATCCAATTGAATCTTTATGGTCCGCAACTTTTTGTGGGCCATCATGAAAATATACTTCAGAGCTTCGAACAGTGGCGAAGGAGAAAGAGGAAGGAGCTATGCGAGATATTCTGAACAGGCACTTTCTGCAGAGGCGGACAGCAGGTTCTGTAGGTGCGTGGATCTATACATGTATTCCGTGATTGCCCAGTTTCCTATTAAGATAAGTTTTTATTTATTTTTTTAATTTATTTAATTTCAAGGGTCAACCAAACCACATTCCATTTGGAAACTGAATGGGCACCCAACAACAAAAAAAAAATAAAACATTTTCTATGGCTTATTAAAAGAGTTCTTTATTCGTACATAATAAATACTCGTCGCTTCTTTATTATTAACAAAGTAATTACAATTAAATATTAGCATTAATATTCACTTAAAACTGTAGCTTTTCATTTACAATGAGTACGTTTATACATAAATACGAAACACACATAACGTGCGCAGCATTTTAAATAAATTTTACAACTAGCCTAAATATTAGATATGTATTTATTATATAAATTGCAGAATTGTTAAATTATTCATTAAAAAATTATATATAGTAAATTTTCAAAAATAGCTAGTAATTTTAACTGAGAATGGCTGACTTAAACTTTTTTTTTGGAATTAACATAAAAATTACTTAGTACATATAAATATAATTAAACAATTACATACATAATTCTTTAAACTACATAAATATTTCGCAGTAATTGGCAGTAGACGTTTACCACTTTTTCTATATGTATTGGTGCTTGTTGTTTTCTACGCATTTATGCAGTGTTCGGTTGCTTTAATTTTTGGTCTCAGAGAGTTACCAGGCAGTTTAATTATAATATAATATTGAAAAAAAAAGAAATAAACTGACGATGAACATAAAACACAAATTGTTGTAAGGCCAATAAATAACAAAAAAAAAAAATTTATAAATAAATAAAGATAAAAAAAATTAAAAAGTGAAAAAAAGACTGAAAGGGGAAAATTAATTTAAAAAATATCTTAAAGTTATTAAAATTACTTAAGCGAAATTATAAGCAAGCAGTCAAGTATAAAAAAGTACAAATAAAAACCGTAAAACAAAAATACTAAATTCAATTAAAAGTGTTATGGTGCAACATGAGAAGTTTTTTTTTTGAATAGAAATTCGTGTATAAGGCACACAGAAGCAATAAACCTACTTGCAATCACAAAAAATCTTGCATTTGTTTAGTTTACTTACAGCTAGAGATATATAGAATACCGTTAGAGTTTTTATCTTATGCCTAAAACATACGCCGAAGCGCAAACAATTTCTTCACATTCAATACCACTTTCTTTTAAAGGTTTCTTAAACTCTTTTGCAGCTATGTGGTTTACAAATATTTCAACTGGAAAAGTATACGAGATTTCTTTTTTGCTCACGCCTTACATCGAGCTCTTCGCATTTCAGTCCTTGCTGGTCCTGAAGTAATTGTAGACATTGGGCCAGGCGGCTAAGACATAATCCTCAATGCCGCATTCGTTGTCACCGCGCGCAATGCGGAAATAGCCATGTTCACCCCACCAGGGACCCCAGGAATTGGCGGCAACCTGTTAAGAGAATAACGACCAGAATTAGAATCAGTTCAGTCATATTTTTCGCAATCTCTTCATCCGAACACACACCCAGTACTTGACGCCATCGTGCTCCTCACCCCAACCGACCAATTTCACCGAGTGAAAACCAGTCGGACTGCTGCGACTGGCTGCGGTGTGCCGGTAGACACCACCCGAGTAGGCAAAGAAATCGCGGTAGATGCGCATTGTGGCCTGCACCGGGCCGGAATGGAAGATCTCCGCCATTATATCGGTTTCGTTATTCAGCGAGTAAGCCGGACCTGTAGTGTAAAATTCATCGCGATCGGAGATGGATGACGGACGGCAGCCGTAGGAGCTGAGTAAACGACGGCCACCATGACGAACTTTGCACGTCTCGCGGCGTCCCGTGTAAGGATAGCATTTCTCCTCTAAAACACTACAAAAATAATGAATATCTTAATTAGCGTATTCTTTTTACTAAAATAGTATTAACAACTTACCCCTGCTTGTGGAGATAACGCCACGCAGCGTCCAAATGACCGCCATTGCAACCCTGCTGTTTGCGTGTACACGACAAAATATTCTGTGGCGATAGCTGTACAACTTCCTTGCCCTGCGATTGTATGGCAAAGCGATCTGAGGCAACCGATGTGGTGGATAGCACCCAAGATGAGCCGCACCAACCTACAAAAATTTAGCATAGAAAGTTAATGTAACAGTAACGCTACCTTCTCTATTCTTCTCTTATTCACCCACCTTGATCTGGCACATCATTTATGAGGCTCGCCCATCGATCCACGGCGTTGAATTGACGTGGCAAGGCGCCTGCTTTATTGGTCAATCGTGTCATTGCTTTGACGCGGAATGTTGGTTCCTTGGTACCCAAACGTAATGTTAGGCCCTCCGAGTATTTGTGTCCCCACCACTCGTCATATTTGCGTGCCGACCAACCTAATTGCCGTATGGAATTCACATTGTTAACCAAATTGTCATCGGTGAGGCAGACATCACGATCGCACTCCACTACACCGCCTTCGAGACAACGACACTCATTACAGTTGTCGGTGGTGGTGTTGTATTTGTTAAAGTAGATGCCATTGTGTAGGCATCGGATTATCGGATCCGGCGCATTCAGGCAGAACGAACGGTAATCGGGACAGCAGTCAGAGGATTGATCGCGGTCACAGAATTCATCACAATAGCAGAGTGTGGCTGTGGGTGGAAAATAAGTACATATTTACAAGTTAGATGAGCCATTTTTATACACATATACATAAATACATATGTACATTGAAAAAAAAAATCAATTTTATAAATCGATTTAAACAAATAACTAACGAGATCCAGGAATACGCATTATCCGCTTTGAGTGCTTTAAATACAGGAACAAGGCCCTTACCCAAGGGTTAATTAATAACTTTATTAACTCGTTGTCTTGTAAACCTCTGACCGGAATCAAACGAACTCTTAATACAGAGACAAACACCCCTTCTTCTTTTTAAAATAGAGCTAATAATGGAAACTTCGAGAACTGGTCACGGACGTACCTACATATGTATGCCAGGAATATACAGTCTAATTTTCGGGAGACAGCATCTTCGGTAATAGCTTTGAATATGGTCCGAAGGATGACCCCTTGGACGTTATAAAATATTAAAAGAGAAGCACGTAGAGTACACTGCCAATGGTGTATAGAAGACCATGACCGTTCAACTCCAATATCCTACGGTGTATTGGACCATAAGCCAGCAGCAATATTTGGAGCGGTAACCTGGTCTCGAAGGTCGGACTTCAGCACAATGAGAGGGTCCCTGACCAGGCTTCAGTGGCCAGCGGAAACCTGTATAATAGGTAAGGAAGTTTCCTCTACGTAGCGCCACTGCACAAAGTCAGTCAAAGAACAGACCGCAAAGAAGTATCTTTAAAATTCAATGGCAGAGGACACGTCTAAAGGCATAATGATCTCAAGCAAAGGGTGGTTAAGGGTGAGGCGGGAATCAAAGCAAATATACATAACTATTTCTTAGACCAATAGTGATATCATGGTCTGTAACCAGACCATTCCAGAAAGTACCACACCCAAAGAGCGGTACGCAGTTTCTTAAAACCCGGCGAAAATATAGGAGTCCTAAGGCAAAGATCTACATAATCATGGAAAAAACCAAGTGGAGATTTGCGCACTCAGTTCCCATTGGACGAACTCACATGGGCTACCACAGGCCTATAGAACTTACAGGAAGTTATAACTTGAAGAAATTTAAGAGGCTAATCACTCTCCCAAAGATAAGCTGCAGACATATATTAGGCACTGATGTGTCATTGCAGGCTGTGAGCCCATATGGATGCCATAGGATTCAGCTCAGACGACTTCTCTCAGACACGCCATTTTATCTAGTTCTAGAAAAAGACGCGGGGCTGTAAGAAAAAAAATGAAGTTCAAGGAGCTGTAGCCAGGTACTAAGTACGCTAAGTGGCTTTTCATTAGGGATTTAGGGATATACGAGGTCTTTTAATGAGTTATGGCATAATAGATGTAAGGTCGCAGAGAAAGATCTACATATATCGGGAGTCGAAAGCATCTAGCTATCCCGTA